ACACGTACATGCATGTCACTATATAAGTGCAATAATCTTGGACGTTAAACCCCATTTCACCTGACCTTGTCACCTTGCAGTCATAGTGAGTGAGTCGGGTTTAACGCCGCTTTTAACAGTATTCCTATTATATATCATGTCAGCTTGATGTGGTAGGAAATCCCGAAGTGATACAGGGATTCGAACCCACAATCATAGGTTTCTGTCATGCCCAAGGGACTCAACTCTGCACATGGAATTGCGGCGCCTTAGACAACTGGGCCACCTGTGCCCTCCCTGCAGTCAGAACTAACAACACAAGCTTATGATGACACATCTTGTCCAGGATTACAACTTTTTAGCCCTTGAAGATTGAAGTGGCCCAAGAGCACACGGTCTGGCAAAGGTTGAACAATGCATTTTACATATATGTAAATAACACTCATAGCCAGACGCTTTCACTTTTGCATGTTTAAGCTGGATCTTAGTTCATATGCAGTGGATCCCTTCATTGCCAGAGCTGAAAGGGCAATCCTGTTCCAACACCAGGGCCCACTTGCACAAAGCGATCTTAGCGCTAAGATGATCATAACTCCCATACTTTAATATAGGCTTACGATAGTCTTAGCGCTAAGATTGCTTTGTGCAAGTGGGCCCTGGTCCCAAAACACAGATGCCTTCAGACTGTACCCCTGTGGACATTCCAAAGTCCCACGAAGCTGATTTAGTACGACTGATCTCATGGTTACAATGTGTGATCTAGTTAATTGTGTCATTGTACCCTGACAGGATACATTGTTGCTCAGGCTATCAACCTTTAGAAAAGGCTTGATTATTAAAAGGCTGCTGTGATATAGCTGGAACGTTACTGACTGATATAAAACAACATTCACTGACAAACATAGGATCATCACACTACTTTGTTTTGTTTTACCATATTTTCTTGAGTATAGTGCACACTTTTTTTCAAAACAACACAGCTGTGTAGAAGGGTGTGTGCATTATACATGCAACAATGAGTTTTGATGTTTTTTTCCCCCTACGGAAAGACATTACTGTGAGCACGCAACACCAAAATTACCCTGTCAACAAATCCATACTGAAGTACGCAAATTAATCATGTAATTACACAGTCTGGCTACAAAAAGTGTCCTTTGTGTATCTGGACTTATATTTGTAACTTATTTCATAAATTTTATTAAAAATTCCTTTCCTTTAATTAATTTCCGCGAAATCGTGTCTGAAGCGATCAGAAGATCGCACAACTCACCGTTATTAACAGCAACCACGGTCAGAATACCGCTATTGACACCTTGAAACGAAGTTTAGTTGACAGAGAATGGATACATATATCATAAATGCCATACTTTGACCAGACCTGTCAACCCTCCCGCATTTTGCGGGAGACTCCCGCAATTTGATGAAATCTCCCAGTCTCCCGCAAGATGGACTATTTCTCCCGCAAAACAGAATTTTTCATTATTTAAAAAATTCGCCTCCATTGTCCCGTGAGTAAAAACAATGAACGGGAAGTTTGCGTCCCGATCTGTCCGGTAGGCTCCCGGATTAGCGAGCCTTATCACAGCCACCCGCAGGGGGACCCAGATGGGCCTTTGTCCAGTAATCAACTGGTAATTAAATTCATATGGTGAACGATTGAACAATGTAAACTGTTAAGAAAACTCGGATAGTCCTAACAGGTGCCTGAAGGGTTGAACTTGAAATGAAAAATCAGCCAAGTATTCATCACTTCATGAAAGGAACTGTTGTCTTCATGTTCTTAGCGTGTTTATTCTTCCATAATTTAAGAACGTAGATACATATGGCCGGTCCAGTTATACATGACTTTATTGGTTATCAGATTTGTCAGAAACTTTGTTAAAACATCAACATACCTCAAAGTTACGTCATTGAACTCTTGGAAATGAAAACAAAATATGTCCTGCAAGCGCCGTCTTCAGAAACAACACTATGCGTGATTGGTTGATTCGGTAGTCGAAATAACAATGAGTTACACGATCAGGCTTCCTCACAGCTAGGATTTCAAAGTCAAAGTTTAAAGTGTAACTTATAAATTTCCTTTTGACTGACATCGTGACTTGTGTGCACAGAAAATATCAAAACAGAACTTTATCAAATTTCGCAAGAATGTATCATGTGATTATTTTACACGATTTGATTGGCTAATAGTTTGCTTGCGACCCAGATCTGCAATCTAATTTGCATACAACAGTACTAGTCAACCAATGAGATTAATAAACGTCAAGGTCAGAAAGGTCAACAACGACAACGAGACTCATTTCATTCATAAATTGTAGTAAAACGTAATAGTACTTCCAAATATGGCATACATTTCTTGGAATGGAATAACGTGAACATTTCTAGGAAATTTAAGAAGCGAAGTAATGGGACTGTCAACAGACTACCGCAGACAGAAAAAAAACCAGTATATCTTATCGAAATTAAGGGCGATGATGTTGCGTCAGGATAAATGCATTTGATATTACTTTGGCGAATTATGTAACCAACATCGCGCCAAATACTCAGAAAACGTGCATCGTAACGAAGCCTGACAACTGGTGGGATTGAACGCGTCGTCAACTGGTCAAGCTACCGATTGTGAAATTTCAATATCTGTTTGCGTTTATCTGAGATGATCTTTGAACGAAAGTTATATGGGTAGATTGTGCTGGGTTTATTTTTGGAGGAGGAAAATGCAAACGGAAATTAAGCAAGCTGTACGTATAAGAAACTTATTGATTATTTATTGTTTCAAAATATTTGGTTTTCTTTGTAACATTATTAAAAATAAAAATTCGAAATTATCTTATCTTCACTATCTTAAAAATCTACCCCTTTGGAGGCAAATCTCCCCCATTTTGAAGGCAAATCTCCCACATTGTCATGATGAGGGGTTGACAGGTCTGACTTTGACTCGTTAAAAGTCATATCTGTTTTAGTTTGACGATTCTATGTCAACACATAGTTATCGCGTTCTGCGCGGGAGCCTCGATGGTGACTTGTCAAAATGGTTCCATGTGAAAATAATAACCGGCAATAGCGATCAGCTGCTTCGCTTAGGGTTATAATTATTTTAAATATATTTAATAAAAGCTGCAACTAAAATAACAAGATATTTGAATATATTATTCCTGATAAAAAAAATTAGTTAAAACAATGCCTAGCAGAACAAAATATACAATTTAAATGGTAAATCAACATGTCTGGTGATTCTTTTTATCTCTAATTTCAAATTTGTACTGACCAAGTTTCTTACCACCCGTTCGTTTACTGGAATTCGCTGTCGGGGTACGGTGTCATTTTTTTCTGCGCATAATATTCAAAAAAGTTTTTTCCAAAATACTGAATCTGCTAGAGGGGGGTGCACATTTTACTTGGGTGCACACTATACTAAAAAAAATACGATAAACCCCTGAAAAAACCATAGGATTGACACTCTGATTTTGCACATTTAAATGCATCTCAACATATTGGGGAGTTTCACTATATTCTGAGTAACAATTGATATCACTGGAAAAACGTTGTCATTGTGATGATATCTTCGGGGGTTAACTCCGTGTGTTGGAACACAAGCCCCATGCTGGGTCACGGAGGAGAGCTCTTGCTGTGACAATGAGGAGATTTATTGTATGCTAACTGAGTATTCACTTTCAGGGTAGGGCTGATATTAAATTGCAAGCAATTCAAGTCATCTGCAGTAGAGGGATTAAACATGTCAACAAACGGGTTTTTTTCTTTGATTTATGTGTAACACATTTATTTACAAAGTTTATATAAGGGAATAAATTGTTCGTTTCCTTTTCCCCCAAGAATGGTTATAGCAGAAGTCCAAGGCTTCCATTATGTTCTGATGTCAACATATAAGGATTGTCATCAGTTTGCTCTGAGTCTGTGATCTGTGTCTTAATTCTCAGACACAAGCGTGTCTCAAACCCAAAGCTGGAGTGTTCTGCTTCAGTGATTACCTAGCCTGTGAAGAGCACAGTCATCCAACTTGACATCAAGAGACAATGTTATTCTTTCAAAATAGATAAACAACTGTCTGTGCCAAAAATGTGACGGTAACAGAATTGTTTTTGACACCTGGTGTCATCACTGATTTTCAGTTATCCATTTATATTATTTTCACCGCTATTTGGACTTTTACACCCAGTGGAATCTGTTTTGAAAGATAATTGAAACTGGTTATTCTCTCTGCCATTGACACTCGTTCTTTTTATATTCTATTGATCATATTGTGTTTATTTGGGTAGAATATTCACAATTGTCATTGTTTTTAGAATACCTTCGGAATTGGAAATTAGTACATCCCTACTGTGAACCAAGCATGGGCCTTAAACAGGCAGAATTTCTGTCCAAAGTTATAAAGCAATGGAAATATCCGAGCAGAGATGGCCAATTCACTGTTTCTCCAGTAATGTTCACATGGCAACACACCAACATTCACCAAGCTCTGAACATGGTGCAAACCAAGTGTGAGTGAGTGATGGTTAACGCCAGTCAGCAAAATTCCACCTACATCTATCGGTCTTCTCATGATCAAGTACAGACTGAAACCAACAGCAATGATCCATGCCACTGGAGTATATCAACCTAACCATTCAGCCAAACCTACTCTGACCTGGCGTCCAAATATACTCACCAACAAAAGAAACGTGAACACCATATACTCATATTCAAGAGATATTAGATTGGTTAGATGCACAAACGAACATACTGGTATGTTATGTGAACCGACGCTCATGAACGCATCACATAAGATGTCATAGCTCCATGACTCAAGATGCACCATTTGTCTCATGCAGGATTAGCGTGGAAAGTTTGGAAATCACATGCAGCATATCGTGATAAGAATAAAAACACTGTGGTAACACTTCTTAATGTAAAGTGGTAACATACTTCTCTATATGTTTCTATGGTTCGTGTTTCTTTTGGCGGTGAATATATATCAAAATAATACAAAAGAATTTTGAATTGAAGGTATTAGACTGCAGACTCACCTCCTCCGCATGTCCTGGAGCAGTCGGAGAACCCAGAAATCTTCCATGCATACACCTCCCTACTCGCTGTGCCGTCATTGGGAATCTGCTGAATGTTGTTGTAACTTCGACTGCTACTGACGGCTGAACTGAGGTAGTTGGGGTTGGCCAGACGGTTGCCCTGGGAGTTGCCGCGGGAGTTGCCCCGGTAGCTGGGGTCAGTCTGGGATCTGTAGGTGTTGCTCGGGTACTTCAGTGTTTGGGAGGATCTCACCGAGGAGGTGTATGCTCTCCTGTCACTGGTCTTCTCATGTTGAGGTCTGTTTGAATAAGATCTTTGATTGGCTCTCTGGTCTGTGGACGTTCCCCATGATGTGCGAGATGGGGAAGACCTGCTCTGGGTGGGATTGGCTGAACCCTGGTCTTGCCTTCTGGATGCATAGTTTTGATTTGAGTTCAATTGATACTGTCCGTTAGAGTGTCTATTGGCATAGGCTGATCTCACAGGTTGCCTCTGATTGTCTGGGTATGTTCTGGCAATAATTCTTCTTCTGCTGCTCAGTCGGAGCTGTTTATTCCGGTCATATGCTGGAATATATCGTGGAGACTGGCCATGTTGTATTCTACTGCTATCTCCCCCTGCGCCCTGATGCCGAGACACGAGTCTGTGCCTGTTACGATGTCTCTCCTGGGATACATGCATATCCCCTTGTTGTCTGTTCAGCTCACCAGGATTCAAACTCGGACTTGGAGCAGCAGTCGTTGTAGGTGTATGATGCTTGTTGCCATGGTGACCATTTCTATTACGGTGACCATGGTTGCCCTGGCGACCACTATGGTGCTGATGTCCTTGACGGGGAGAAGGGCGTGTGTCAGCTGCTTCCTCATGACTGGACTGAGCCATCCTGACTCCCATCTTGTGTTTGGGTATCGTGAAGTGGTACACAATCCCCGGGTTGTGGTGGTAGTACAGAAGCTACAAGATAAAAACACCAGACACAGGATGTACTTCTTGTCTATATTCTCAGGAATGAATGAATGAATGAATGAGTATTGTTCTACGCCGCATCAGCAATTTTCCAGCTATTCCCAGTGAGAACCAGGATAAAAATTTCATACATGTGAAAGAACAACCATAAAAGTATTCTCAGGAAATGAATTGATAAAATTTGAAAGACATCACAGAAATTGACTTAAGGAAATGATATTATATTCCTGATGTATAGGGGTAAATAGTATACTTATAATCCTTGCTCATGTGCCATTACAGAAGCTTATCTTTAATTCATGAATAACAGAATAACATGTCAACATTGACAATGCCTTTGGATCAGTTTATCAGCCTAACGTTGGATAGGGAAAACAATCAGTGTTGAACGTTTCATGCAATCTTTGCATCCATACAGACAACCCTGTGGACAGTGTAGGAAATATCACCTTCCAAAGGCAAGGGACTTAACTGTAAAAGTCCACTTTCCATCCTTGCCGAACTAGGCTGGAATTTCTTTGCTCGATCGTAGTGCCACCTGTGGCCATTACGACTTATGTCCCTTTTATGTCCCTCCTATTGACCAATCAGATTCCACCTCTCATATCACTGTATTTGCTTCAAACAAAATGGTGGCCGCCAGTCAAGACGATCTGATCGATAGTCATGATCTATATTGTAATAAAATGGGTCTTACTTCAGGAAGAGCATCAAATCACCGGAGCACCTTGATTAAAAACATGAAAAGATTTGGAAAATATCTGTTGATGCCAAGTTGACAGTACACATGCTTTGCACATCCTGCAATGATTTTGTTACACAATTTTGATTTTGACCCACAAATTCCAGCCTAGTTTGGCGAGGTGGAAACTGGACATTCAGTCAGTCAGTTACGGTAACTTCAGGAAGATGAGGAAATATTAACAACCTTCCATTCTCCTCCTTACAAGAGCTGACCAACCCACCTGCACTTCGATTTCTTGAGTTGTTGGGCCATCGGCAAACAAGCACTCTCCCGGACAATGGCGGCTCTGACTTCGGCCATATCGGAAGGTTGTCCCTGCACCACGTACAACACCAGATGGAGTGAGGCGCCGGTTGCCATTGAGGAAGTACAGCCCATTCTCTCCTCCAATCTTCAGAGCTGAAGCAAATGTAAGAATATAATGACCCATTGGCAGCTGTGTGTTTCATGTCTCAGGTATGTATACATGAGTTAGTTGTCCCACAATGCCCTTAGTATGAGATACAGTTGAACACATCATTCAACATATATGTCCAAGACATCGAAACCCTCTTTCTGACAGTAAAGTTAGTCCTTCAGCAACCCATGCTTGCTGTAAAAGGCAACTATGCCTGTCGCAAAAGGCGACCAACGGAATTGGTGGTCAGCCTTGTTTACTTAGTTGATGAATGTCATATCCCAATTGTGTAGATCGATGCTCATGATGTCAATCACTGGATTGTCTGGTCCAGACAAGATTATATACAAACTGCCACCATGTAGTTGGAATATTGCTGAGTGCAGTTTTAAACTACAAACAAGCAACAAGCTAGAATTATTCGTGCAAGTGTAGATTTCAAAGAGTTTTTACTTTTATATGGGAAAACAAATCCTCAAATGTGTTATTTACTGTCTTCAAAATAAAAGGACACCCGTATCAATGGTAAAAACTGAATGACACAAATACAGCCTGGCACCAGGGAGGAAGGTTCCAGTGTGATGGGACACACACACCTGAATACTCTTGGTTGTTGGTTTGTTGTTTAACGCCGCACTCAGCAATATTCCAGCTATATGACGGCGGTCTGTAAATAATCGAGTCTGGACCAGACAATCCAGTGATTGACAGCATGAGCATCGATCCACGCAATTGGGATAGATGACATGCATCAACCAAGTCAGCGAGCCTGACCACCCGATCCCGTTAGTCGCCTTTTACGACAAGCATAGTCGCCTTTTATGGCAAGCATGGGTTGCTGAAGACCTATTCTACCCCTGATCTTCACGGGTAGAATACTCTTGGTAGTGAAGGAGATATGTGATGTCATGACTGGTGTGTATGTCAAATAATGTGGTGAACTGAAATACTTTATAGATCAAACAAACAAACAAAATTCACAAATCTAAATCAGTTTAATCAAAAGAAAATGAAAACATAACCTTTAAAGAACTCTTTTTTGATAGTACCGGTAACAAGAAAAAAATCAATTCATTTTTTTTCATTTTTTATTAAAAATTATTCTTGATATTTTAAAATAGGTTATCATAATTTCTGAGTGTTTGCTTTTCAAACCAGAACCTCAGGCACCCCACTTGTGCTCTTTGTAGTGCAGAAACTGGACATAATGTACATTTGCCATTAACATGGACAGTTATTTGTGCTGTGCTCCTACACTGGCGACACAATCTAACTGATGTTTTATACAGGGAGACTTCAAACAGGCTCTGTCAAACAGCGAGAGTTGTACAAATGTACTGTGTGTGCTCTTTACCTATCTTCTCACATTGAAAGTAAATATAACACTATCTCTGTTGAAAGAAAAATATTAAGAATTTTGTTTTCATGACCTGCAAAAACATTGGGAAGACCTTTACATGTTATTCTGGAACAATTGGGGCAAGTCATCCGTAAAACATTCAACCAAATTATGATAAGAAGATTAATCATCTGCATGAAGTTTAACTCGACATAAAATCAAAAAGGATTTAGGAATTTATTTTACACCACCTTATTGATATGTTTCATGCATCCCAAAGGTTTTTGAGTTCTACAATTACAGACAAAAACTCCAACCTCTCCATTAAACAATGAACAGCGTCAAGAATGTAAAACCCCAAGAAGTAACAGCTAAGTCCCTACTACGTTGAGTGAGTGAGTGAGTTGATTTTAATGCTGCTTTGAACAATAGTTCAGTTATATCATGGTGTGTCAGCTTGATGTGGGGGGAAAGCCCAAAGTGATGCAGGTGTTAGAGATTTACTAATTATACAAGAAAATGGTGTTGATAAGCCTAGAAACTTAATAATTACTGCATTTATAAAGTGCCAGATTCCATTCATGCATGCTCAAAGCGCTACACTATTATTACCCCGGTCAATGGATCAGTGGGCACTTGATTTTCATTCTCAGCTCCATGGGGAGTATACAACCCAAGCTGCCCGTGAGGTGCTAGAAGTTCAACAGCCAGATTACCATCTCATCCTACTGGGAACCCACTCACTGCTGGGTGAACAGAGGCACATATGCTACATGTGCTTCAGTGTGGGGCAGGACTGAAGCCCAAGAAACTCTCAGGAGTCAAGCTGCTGAACGTGGTCACCCATCCAACTACTCTCCGAGACCGACATTCCCTAACTTCACCTGACTTGTGACCTGTCTGCTGTGCACAGGACCACATGCCACCAAAACATTATCAGGAAGAACTGAGAGATTCAAACCCATGATCATTTATTTCTGGCAAACTTAAGGGATACACCTCTACACAGCGAATTGCAGTGCCTTAGATGACTGAGCCATCCATGACAGCTTCAGGTTTGAACCGATTGGATTTGGATTCGAGTTCATAATCCCTTATCCAAGGACATGATATTAAACATCTCTCTGAAATCTCCATAAAACTCTGTACAATATTGCTGGGTCCAGCAAATGTACCACCAAATCCTTGTCTCAGAGATTAACCATAATCCCTAATACAATCAAGGAAGGACTTTCTTTCTTTATATTTACAGAAAGTATTTGAGACAAGTGGAATTAATACCATGTGGATTCTCAAAAACTCGAAGGATTTGCTTGACTTTTTACAATCTCAGAAAAGAACCAGGTTCAATTCTGTAAAAACAATTGATTTTTCAACTTTGTACACCACTATCCCATAACCTGATAAACTTAAGGAAAAAGTTATTCCTTGATCCACGGATATTGTTATTTATCATGTAATGGGTAGGTTTCTCGGCAGGATAAAGCCACCGGATAAAAACGATATCCGTTGGGGTCATATGCGGATAGAGATGCAAATATCAAAGGTCAAGTAGGGACTACTTTTACTGTTTATAAACAAACATGGCGTCGCCCTCGTCATTCGGCAATCGAGTCAGAATTAACCATCGGGAATCTGGATAAACTACAGGGATAATTGCTATCATTATCAAAAGAACAGTCTAGTATACTGAAAATCAGTAACTGTGACGAAAATAAGGCATTTTTTTTGCAACTTTGGTGATATAAATTTCGAAACAATTTTGCGAGGGCACGAGGCCTAGCCAAGCTGGATCAGTAGCCATATCTGTGCTTGTAGACCTCTGCGGCTTGAAACCTTCTCCACAAATTAAAATAGTTGGATTTGGCTGAAATACGTTTGAATTGTTACCTTGTTTCATTTTGTCCCTGTGTGTACATCTGACTACACTTCTTAACGTTATGACAGGACAGACCGACTGTCAACAACGTCTGACCGTGCCCGTGACGTCTCATAGACGAGGGTTAGAGTAGCTTCCCTTTGACAAATGGCAGTTAATCTAGCGGACAGACCGATGGATTGCCGCGAAAGGCAATAAAAACAATTGTTGTATGGCGTATATTTTGCTTCGCCACTGTATAAGAAACAGATTTCAGTTGGAACTATATTGGCTACTGTCACTGTCCTACTGACACATCACTTACCCTGTGACGTAATAAATATTAATGCGTGCATTCCAGGAAAACTTGCAATGTTTCGGTAATGTTGGTGAGAGAGGGAAAGCAATTTTGAAGCACAGAATTAAAGAATGACATTATATGATAAAGAGGTTATCAGGCTTGTGTGTTTGGGGTAGGTAAATATCCTGTATTAGGAATAAACACTATGTATTTAGCTCGCCAAGGCTCGCTAAATACAATGTTTATCCCTAATGCAGGATATTTACCATCCCTAAACACACTCGTGTGATAACCTCTATATATCTATCTTCAGAGGTTCATGGCAATTTGTCAAAAATAAAAGCAAACGCCATCTGAAGCTTACTGAGAAAACAATATGTGAAATGTTGGCCTTCCTCATTGATAACAACAGAGTTTATCAATATCCTATATCCCCAGTTCACCACTAGACTGATCTGTATAGCAATTTTCCTTCACAAATATTCAACAGTTTGGGAGTTCCTCTCCTGAAACTAGCACAACCCTTGATTACAGTAAAGTCCAACTTGTTGTCATGAAAAAAAATAAATACAAAAAAATAACAAAATCCCAAATCATCAAAAGGCTCCAGTTCACCACTTGACTGTCAACAAGAAATATTCAGCTGTTTAGGAGTTCTGCTCCGGAAACGGAAAACGGACAGAGGACACTGACACTTTGAATTGAGTGGATGATGATAAACATATATGGCTTATTGTATATATCGGGTGTCATCACTGATTTTCAGACCTCCATTCACATAATTTTCATCACTGTTTTGCCTTTTAATCTGTTTCAGCAAATATTCAAGCCTGATTATTCTCTGGCATTGCATTTTGAAAACAAATAAAGCTAGTTGAATTTCAATTTATTGACATATCTGAACACTTCTTTACAACATGAAGTGTTTTGCTCAAGCCAGAGCAGTTTACTGCTCTTGAGGACAAATTGCTTTAAGATATCACACTGCAACTTAGTCTCATATGAATGGTGACACTTTATTTTCAAAATTCATTCTATTCAATCAAACCATGTAACAGACAAAATGAGGATCCAAGGAAAACACACAAGGCAACAACCATCCTTGTAGTTTTCACAGTTCCACATCATGTCATCTTGTGTTTCGTAGCACTGACAAAAAGGTGCCACAATCTGGGGACAGAACCGACTTGCACTCAACAATTAGCCAACCAATCAGTGTTTAGTCAGGTGGGAGACGTCCCTTTGAAGTGCTGATGCCATGAAGCTGCCCAACTCTGTCAGCAACAAGCAGGGATGGCCGTCATCCTCCTTGACTTGCTCTGCTTACTAATTGATTCTCCTGTATTGTGCCGTTCGTCACACAGGTGCTAAGACACTTGATGTTGTGTTTGACAGTCTGAGCTGACTGACCCATGGTCATGTTCAAAGAATGGGCCACGAGGTGTACAGAACAGTGTTCTGTTGTGTTCTGTACATCGCTCACTTGCACAACCTGTAAGTAATA